CGTGTGCGTGCGTGTGTGTGTGTGTGTGTGTGTGCGGGGCGTGTGCGTGTGCGTGTGTGCGGCGAGAGTAGTGAGTGGCGGATGTGCGTGTGCGGGTGCGTGTGTGTGTGTGTGTGCGTGCGTGCGTGTGTGTGTGTGTGTGTGGGGGGGGGGGGAGGGGGGATGTGCAGATGTGTGTGTGTGTGCGGCTGTGTTTGTGCGGGTGTGTGTGTGTGTGTGTGTGCGTGTGAATGTGTGAATGTGTGAATGTGTGAATGTGTGAATGCGTGAATGCGTTAATGTGTGAATGTGTGAATGTGTGAATGTGTGAATGTGTGAATGTGTGAATGTGTGTGTGTGTGTGTGCGTGTGCGTGCCAGCGTCAACGTGCGCTTGACCTCACCGACGCCCTGCCGCACGAGGCAGGCGCTGCAGGGAGGGTCAGCACAGGCCGCACGCTGTCGGTGGAGCTGGGCGGGGCAGCCGCACACTGGCCGAGCACACTTCGGATGGGGCAATCTATCGCCCCCCCTCTGGGACCCGCTGGGGGGGGGGTCTCAGACATCGGGCGTCTCGAAAAAATCGAGACGGAGGTTTCTCGTAGTTTTTGGACTCTCGGGGCCCTAGCCGGGCCTCGGGACCGTCAAAAAACGACTCGGGATGAGACACCGGTCCCGGGGAAGTGGTCGGGAGGTCGGGGACCCGCGTCTCGAAAAAATCGAAACTTCGTTGGGCACGTGCTGCCGGGACGGGTCGAGGGGGGTTGGAGGAGGAGGAGGAGGAGGAGGAGGAGGAGGAGGAGGAGGAGAAGGACGAGGAGGAAGGGGGGAGGAGGGATGGGGTGCGGGATTGGGCAAGCCCAGTCGGGAGGTTCCCAGACATGCGACGTCCTGATTTTGTCAATGCGGCGTCCCCAGAAGTCCCGACCCTTTCCCCCCCGAGGCCGGTTGTTCCTCCTGAGCCGTTGCTTGACGGCCCCGAGACCCGGCGAGGGCCCCCCGAGGCCGAAAATGGCCAAAAGCCTCCCGTCCTGAATTCTTGTTCGACGCGGCCACGTCTGGGTGAATCCCCCCACCCCCCTTGCTCAATACCCCATCCACCAGAGTACAGTGGGGGCGTTGACCTAAGAAACTCCAAATAAGGAACGAGGCCCCTTTCTCCCATGAGTTGAACTTCGATTTCCCATGGAAAACCTCAGGAAAACCGAAAGCAAACTGCAGAACAATCAAGGAACACCGAGCCCATTCCCAACGAAAAGGGTTCCTTCTGCAGGGCCCCAGCTGCACGCCCTGAGGATCGACCGGAGCCCCCACAGAGGGCCAGCGCAGGCCACGCATCTGCCGAGCCAGGCCGCTACCCCCGCCCTTGCCTGGGGCCGGGAGGGCCCGGGCCGTCGCGGGATCTGTGGGCCCCAGCAGCTCCGACCAGCCATAAACTGGGGGAGCTGTGGTCCTTACCCTCCTGGGGGGAACCCATCGCCTCGACGATCTCTCGAGAGGGGTGTCGAAATCGATGGGTCCCCCAGGGGGGTAAGGACCACAGCTCCCCCAGTTGTGGCCGGCCTGCATATGGCATCCGGAGGCCCGGCGGCGGAGGAGCCTCCCGACAAGAGCCAGAGGAGCAAGCGAGGGACACACACACAGAGAGACACACAGACACACACACACACACACACACAGACACACGCACACGCACATGCACGCGCACGCGGTCGCGCACGCGCACGCGCAGACACGCACACGCGCACGCACACACACACACACACAGACACACACACACACAGACACAGACACACACACACACACACACACACACCGACACGATCGCGTCGCAAAAAAAAATCAGACAGGCAAGCTTTTCACTCTTTTTCGGCCCGTGGGGGCTCTCGCCGGGCCCCGGGGCCGTCCAAGAAGGGCTCAGGATAACCGGCCCCGGGGGAGAGGATCTGGACTTCATGGGGACGCCGCATTGACAAGACCAGGACGTCGCACCCAAAGATCCGATGTCGAGATGTTTTCATATACGGGGTCCCAGGAAGCCTCAGCCCACTCCCCAGGACCGGTTTTCATCCTGAGTCGTTTTTTGACGGTGCCAGGGCCCTGCGAGGGACCCTAGAGGCCGAAAACTACGAAAACCTCACGTCATGATGTTTGACTAGAGGGGGTCCCGACTTCAGGGGACGCCGTATCGACAACAGTCAAGACGTCGCATGTCTGAGCAGTCCGCTGCCGCAGGGCGCAGGGCGAGGACGCGAGACGAGGGTAGCGGGCCAGCAAAGGTTTCGGCTACTTACGTTGGCGTGGGCCGACGGGCGAGGATGCGAGTGCAAGGCGGGAAGTTCTCCCTACCCTGGGTTGTCTTCGTATGCGTGGGGGCTGGTATCCCCCCGACGGGGTCAACCTCGCCTCGTCGTCGCGCCGCGACGTGGGTCGGAGCGCCTTCGGCGCGCGGTGGCTGTCCGCGACGGGGGTCGATGTGGGGCTGTCGACGGGGGGTGACGCCCCCCCCGACGCTCATCAAGAAACTCGGATTATCCACCGCCTTGGAAGCCACGTCGTGGCGCCGCAGCGGGCGGTGGATGTGGACATATCCTGGCCCCCAGAGTATCCACCGCATGTGGAAAGCCGCGAAGATTGAGCCCCAAGGCGGTGGTTTTGGATACCCGCGCGTCGGAAGAAGTAGGTAAAAACATGCAGCAGGAAGGCGGGTAAAGCAGATTGGGTTCGGGCCCGCCCAGAGAATAACAGAAGACAGCCCAAACATATCGATTCTTGAAGTAGGAAGGCGCTTGAAGCAGATTGGGACCTGGCGATCCAAGAATACCCACTGGGGAAACCAGAAGGTACGGATACCGCTACTCCCCAGACGTCTTCTGGGGTACGTTCTGACAAGAATTTCGAAGCGAAACCAGCTGTGGCGACGAGGGCCTCCCAGGAGGCCCAACATGATCGACCCACGAACCCAGAAAGGGACTTAGAACTGCGAGGCATTGGATCGTTCCCAAGCACCTCAATTGGGCGATGGGCAGTGGCAATGCTGAAGATATCAATGGTGATGATCTTCTGTCAATGGCTGTGTTGTACTGCTCTGTGCTGTGCCGCGCCGCATCGTGACGTGCCAATGACGCGCCACGGAGCGTGCCAATAGAAGTGCCAGGGGACATGCCGCGTTGAACTGTGCCGTGCGCTATTGTATTGTGGATCAAGCCGTCCTTGGCTTCTGAATCCTGACCGAACTGATTTGGATCTTAAGCTCGAGCTGTCTGAACGCATAGCTCGGGCGAGTTGCAATCGAAACGCCCGGGGCGCTCGACCAGCTCAAGCTCAAGATCCGAATCAGTACGTGAAGACGTGGTTCCAGCTCGGAACAATCATGCTAAATACCCCCCTTGGCGGCCTGGACACGTGAACGCACGTGGTTTCAGCTCGGGACCACCATGTTAGATCTCCGCATGGGTGGCCTGGACACGTGAAAACACGTGGCTTCCGCTCGGGACCACCGTGTTAAAAAACCCGTGAGGAAATCTGGAAGATCACCAGCCGACGAAACTGAATCCTACTATTATGTACACATGTGGCGTCGGCCTCCTGACTGTTGTGTGGCAACTGTGGGGACCCCCAGACGCTGGGGGCTACCCAGACGACCACACGGTGGCCCCTCCTCCTCCTCCTCCTCCTCCTGCTGCTTCTCCTGCTCCTCCTCCTGCTCCTTCTGCTCCCGCCCTCCTCGGGGGGGCCCTCTTCCTCGAAGGCCGCCGGCCCCTTCTCTCGGGAACCGGGAGCTCTCAGACACCGAGGTCCAGGAAGCCCGGCGAGGCCCCCAAGACGCTCCCGAGAGGCCCCCCCCCCCAGAGGCTCCCAAGAAGCCGCAAAAGTGCCGCCGAGATCGGGACGATGGAGACGGGTACGGAAACAATGGGTACGATGCCCAGCATGTTCATTTTGAACAGGACTCGCTGTCCGCGCCGCCGCGGACGTTGCTCTTTGAAGGTGTAAAGCCGCCTGCCCAACAGCGGCCGCTGTCGGTTTTGGAGTACGTTTAATGTTGGGCATTGTGCCCATTCTTATCCGTACTCATTTCAAGCGTCCCAGCGAGAGGCCCCCGAGAGCGCTCCCGAGAGACCCCAAGAAACATCCCTGGGGCTCTGACCCGCAACCCGGGCACGGTGGCGGGATATAAGCCGAAGGCCATCCTGGCGTCGCGCACAAAGGGGGTAGTTACGGGGATGGGGGATGGCCTCTTCGAAGGAGGCTGCTTGTCAGGAGCCGCAGGCCGTACCTCTCTGGATGAGGCCCGCGCCTTCCAAGAAGCAGGCTGCTTCTGAGAAGCCTTACCCCTCCCCCCCTTCTCATCTCCTCCTCCTCCTCCTCCTCCTCCTCCTCCTCCTCCTCCTCCTCCTCCTCCTCCTCCCCCTCCCCCCTCCTCCCCCCTCCTCCTCCCCCTCCTCCTCCCCCTTCCAGCGCGTGGCCCCTGCCCTTCTCGGGGGGGCACGGAGCAGTCCCGAGACTCCGCTGCCGCTGCTCCCGAGGGCCCCCCTCCCGGGGCGCGCCCCTGGCCGGGCTCCCGGCGCGAGGCGGGCCTCCGGCGACGAGGGGCGGGCAGCAGCACAGCGGCCTCTCGGGCCTCTGGAGAGCCGCACTCTTCTAATAGCAGCAGCATTGATATTGTTATTAGTCGTACGATCATTCTGCTTATCAGTCTAATTCATGGTCTTATTATTCCTAGTGTTCTTATACCTCTTCTTCTGGTTACGACTACCGGTATTATGGTATGATTGTTATTATTCTTCGGGCTGCGCGCCGCAGACAAGAGAAGCATGTCGGCACCGATGCCTGTCTCTCGCCTTCGCCGCCCGCAGGGCCTCTGCAGCCGCGCCACGACGCAAGACGCATGTCTGGCCTCCAGCCAGCCCTACCGATTGGACAAGCAAAGCGGCGCCGCAGTAAGGTTCCCCCCTCTCCCATCCGCTGCCTGCTTAGTTACTCTGAGCCTTCAGGGCACTTATTCTGATCCCACTGCTTCTGGCCCCTCTTGTGCCCGCACTGGCAGCAACCTTAATTGTGCTTGCACTTCGCCGAGTCGGAATCTTACATCGTTTGTCACTGCCGAACGCTACATGCACAGCACTATAAGTTTGCCTACACGAAGGAGGAGGAGGAGGAGGAGGAGGAGGAGGAGGAGGAGCAGGAGGCCGAAAGCTGAAACCTGTCGGGCGGGTGGCAATCGGGGGTGACCCAAATTCGGGGTGAAGAAACAGACCCCCTAAACGGGGCCATGTTGGGCCCCTTCTGGCCACCATCTGGCTCCAGAAGGGGCCCCAAGGGCCCCTATCTAGGGTCCTTCATCACCCCCCATTGCTAAAGGTCCTAGCTGGGGTCGGAGTAGATGGGGTCGGAGGATCGCGCCGCATCGGCGATGCATCGGCGACGTCCGCGTGAAGCAAATCGGGCTCCACATCGAGCCGCATCGTCGATGCATCGGCGTTGCGGCGCGATCTTCTGGCCCCATCTACTCCGACCCCATTGGGGAGGCCTAGAATCACCACCCGCCCAAACTCGCATTGGGAATTAAACCCCGGCATGGCCTCTTTGGCCGTGCCATCGTGACGCGCCACGCGCCACGCGCGGGGCGGTCGCCCCCGGTAGCGCGGCGCCACGACCCTACAAAAGGGCATGGGAGAGTCCACGCAGGGCGACAAAGCCCGGTGCGAAGAAAGTGTGACGCCAGGATCTCGGGCTCCGCATTCCTTCCCCTCTTCCCACGTTGTGTTCTTTTTCGTGACGTCGATCCCTAGAGATCTCGGCCCCTTCCGCGGGAGCGGTTGCTCGTCCCTGGTCGTCCTCCCCCTCCTCCTCCTCCTCCTCCTCCTCCTCCTCCTCCTCC